CTGCTCCTGCTCTCTGAAGATGCCTGTCACAGATGCTGGCGAAACGTTAGGAAACAAAACTTCCAGAACACGGCCACGCAGCCCGGGAGACCCACACCAGCCAATGTGTGTGGAATTGTTTCTTCCTATCTTCTCTCCTTCCTTCTTAAAGGGAAATAAAAGGCTGCAGAAATGACATACATAAAAAAAAAGGAGAGGAAACAATGATAGCAGCCATTATTATGGGGGTGGTGGGGGTGGTGATGGTGGTGATGATTTTGGAAATAAGCAACTAGGTTCCCACATTATGCTAAACCATAAATGGTTGGTTTACTTTTGACTTAATTTAATGTGGAAGTAGGGATACCTGTTCTATGAATAAAGCATAATTTGAAACCATGATTTATTGTTAGGTAATTGATTATAAGGGTGACATAGCATGATATGCCAATAGACATGCATAGTTTACTCCTGGCTTGTTTACACCTTTAAGCAGGTGCAAACCTGCAAGGAAAAGCAGATAAAAGGTAAGGTAGGTTGTTTGCTGGAGTAGAGCAAACAATCCAAAGAGTCTTGTTTGCAACCCTTCTATGATACACATTTGCAATATTCAGGTTACACTGAGTGGTATCCTTAGGTACACTTTACAAATTATGGAATAAATACAAAATTATTCTAACACTATTGTGTCTTGATGCAATTTGTGGACACTTTTGTCAGAACCCTTAGGATGCATCTGGTGCTCCCATCTGTTTCTCCAGCTGTACTGAAAGAAAAATGCCTTAAGGCGCTACCCCAATTGATTGGCAGATGAAATAGTACAGATGTCCTCATTGAAGAAGTTCTTCTGCCAGCAAATAATTGCATGTTGACTTGAATTTAAAGAAAATAGGGCTGGCTATGGGCCCCCCAATAACTGATAGGCATGAGACACAAAATCTTTCTGCCTCATGCTTATAGAAGTTATTTCAGTCAGTTTTGATATATTATGTCTTGCAGTGTTTTAATTTAATAGAGGCTTAGATGGACTTTTAAGGCCAGTGAGCATATATGGAATGTTAAGGACATAATGTATGGATTCTCACAAAATGATTATCATGGAAGTTTGTCGCTTCACGTAATGGGTGCCGTGGTGCTATGGTCAACCACAAAAGAATCCATTTACAAGACAATAAAGAAGTGAAGTTATTCCCCACTAGCCCTTCTAGTTCCCCAAGATTCTCCTGTCTATCCTGGTTTAACTTTGTCCTTTTGGGGGCATAGTCACAAAACACTGGGCTGCAGCTACTGACCATTTTGACTTTCTAAGGAGGTTTATGAGGCCTACCTATTTATAGTTCAGGACATCCTTTCTCAGTAAAGATGATGCTGGAGGCCAGCACTGTTTTGCAGCCTGCTTGCTTCTCATTTATTTCTTAGATTGTTGATTAGACAAGTGAGTTTGGAACCAAAGGAGATATATGAAGATATCACATTACCTACTGCAGCTTGAATTTTATAGGGTTTAAAAAAAAAAAGTTTAAATCAGAGGTTCCCAAACTTTCTCAGTTCTTAGCACCATTAGGGTTTCAGTAATTTTTTCATGGCACCTGTAGGCCAAAACTGAACTACCACTGTATTTTCCTCAAAAATTTAAAATATCCTATGGTGCCCTGGAAGCGGCAATGCACAGTTCAAGAACTGTGGGTTTTAAATGATTGTTGAGAGAATATTTGGTGTTCTTCAAATAGAAACATTTTTGGAAAGACATTGCCCTAAATGACAGCATTTGAACCTTAGAAATAAAGAAACAGTTCAGGACACTGAGAAGAACTGGCCAAAATGTGGCACAGCAGAGGTTTCTGAGGAAGGAAGGTAGAAATCAGCATTATGCTACAAACATCCATTCTTCTATTGGGATTTCTCCTAATTTTTTTCCGTCCTGCAACTCCTATACATTTTTTCAAAATCTGCTGTAGAGGATTGGGAGACCTTCAGGGCCAGATTTTGAGATCAAGCAGGGAGTTAAAAATAGATAGGATAAAATGAAGCTCCTGTTCCAATGGTATTTCATGGCCAAAATTAATTATACTTCCAAATCAATAATATTTATATATTTGTAATATCGATATGCTATTTAGCAGACATGGTTGATTAAGTTGCAGTAACAGCATAGCTTCAGCAAAATGGGGCAGACCTATCTTTGTAATGATAATACTACTGGGCTTACTGCTTTTTATAGATCCATCACAAACATAACCAATTACCCTTAAATTACATCTCTGTTTTGCAAAGCAGATCCATTGACCATAAGAATGTAAAAGTGCTGTCAGATTAGAGGCTTAAACATGGCTTGCTATATATGGGCCATGAATCAATGCTAAGATCGGATAATGCAATAAGGAAAAGCACACTATATTTTTCTGACTATAAATATTACAGTCCAATTGTACATGCCTGACACTGGAACACAAAAACAATCTGTGAAAATATTTCATATGAAAGTTGAATGTTTTGAAATGTCAGCTTTCAACTCTCTACTATATAATTCTTGGGAAGAAATGTAACAGAAAAAAAGAAATATTGGAGAAAAGATGTTTCATACAATTACTCTTTGGCTGGTGAAACAGCAGCTCTGTAGCTTGTTTTGGAAGGCAAAAATATTGATTGAACTGTTTTGTACCCAGGGTCAACACTATGAAGAAGAAAAAAGAGCATTAAGCCATGAAATAATAGCCCTCAATAACCATTTGATAGAAGCCAAGGTGACAATCGATAAATTATCGGAAGATAATGTGAGTATTTTTTCTGCTATGATATATGGAAAGATAAAGGTAAAAATTATGAATTATAGAATAGAAATATTATGTTACAAGTAATTTCAGTACTCTTTTGTATTAATTACTCAGCTTTTAACTACAGGTAGTCGTCTTTTAGCGACTGCTTCTTTTAGTGGCCATTTGCAGTTATGACAGTGATGAAAAAACAACTTTACAACCAAGGCTTGCATTTATGGCCTTTGCAGGTCTATAAAGCAAAGGAAAGCTGCAATAAGCTGAAATAAATAAGCACAGTTGTAGTTTCACTTAATGACTGCTTTGCTTAACAACTAAGTGGTCACTAAAGAGGACTACTTATATTCCACTTAGTAAGAATGTACAGAACAGTAATTTCACTTGCTAAAGATTTATCAAAACAGGCTTATTTTTTTTTAAAACAAATGGGAGAATCATCTAAATCTCAAATGGAGCCAGCAACTACAGACAACATCATTAAGTTCTAATTATATGTTATATGCTGGTTTACTATTCCAAGCATTACTTTTTCTGTCTAGAAGAAGACATAGTTGGCACCCAACAAAACCTGACAACTGGCCCTTCTGGCTACAGAGGTATCATGGCAATTATGATTGGAGGACCATCTCCAAACTGTTATGTCTGAGGGTATGCAGCCTTACTGAGAACAAAACTTGCCATTCCAGTCACCAGGAATGAGCCATCCATAAACTCTTCATCTTGTAAGAATTCATTCTCAGTTTATTAGACCCTCTTTGACTGTAGAAGCAGCTTCCAGCAGCTCACAGCCTCCAGCCTCCAATTCACAACTACCATAGCCTCTGTTTGACTATAATCAGCTTTACTTTCCCTTAAAATCATTTTAAGGGATCAATTAATTGTACCAATCAGCTATCTTATTTTATAGACAATTTTAATTGGTGATCATTAATTTAATTAAATGTTTTCCCCAGCGTTATTATGATTTTCACTTTATCAATGAAGTCTTCCCTATTGGTTAGTATCAAGTCAATGATTTGTGCCTTCCTCTACCCTCTGAAGGAAAAAGTCATTAACAAGACAAATCAGTAATTTCTTGGGAAGACAATGCTTGGCAGGGTTTGTTATCCAACAAATGCTAGGAAAATTAAAGTCCCCATCACTACCATTCCCTGTGTCCTTGAAAGATAAGCAGTTTGCTCTTGGAAAGCATCATCTCCATCTTCTCCTTGATTAGGCCAGTAGTAATATACTGCTTTTATTCATTCCTCCACTTATTTTAACCCAGATGCTCTTTACAGTATCACCAAATTAATTCATGCACTTGGGTTTCTATATAGGCATGGATGCACTTAATTTACCATGCAACTTCTTCCCTTTTCTACTGCTTTTGTTGCTTTGAACAAATTGCATCCTTCATTGCTATATTCCAGTCATGGGAGTCATCCCATCATCTCTCTGCTATACATATTAAGTAATATTTGCCTTCCTGTATTAACAGTTCAAGCTTATCATGTTTATTTCCCACAATCTTGACATAAAAGTTTAGATAATGAAATGCATGAATATTATGAGCCAATCTTTCTGATTTTTGTAATGGTTCAATAGGACATGTTTCAACATTCTTCCTTATTTTTATAGCCTTCAAGTCATTATCTGATATCCATACTTTATATTTTTCTTCTCTGGTTCCTACAGGATTCAATTTAAGCCCTCCTGATCAAGCTCATCAAGTTTTAGGCAAACACAGTTTTTTCAGGCCTTGCAAGGTATAACTCATCTTGTCCCAAGAATCTAATCCTGATAACTGAGGTTATGATCTAAGAAATCAGGTATCTCCCATCAACATAATCTTTTCCATGAAATGAAAGAATGGATGAGATCATCTGACCACCTTCCTTCCTGTCCATCAGTCCTTTTCCATGAAATGAAAGAATGGATGAGATCATCTGACCACCTTCCTTCCTGTTCAAAGCCCATGATGATATGGATTGTAGCAGCTTTTAGCAAGCTCATTTGTCTCCATGTTGATTAGGAGGAAGTGATAATGTTAGCAGATTTGTTAAGCCATGGAAGTTATTCTGTTATATCCTGATCCATGCTCTTGCTCCAAAGAAATCAAAAGGTCTAGGCAATACACATTTATTTTAGTTTCTCATAATTGTGAGTCACCTCTGCTCTTCTGGGATCTACCATCCTGTTTCCTGGTCAGCAATATCCCTTTCTTCCCTTCAAGACTCAGACCTATTTCTTTAGTTCCAATGACCCATTACATTTTTTAGTGTAATATATAGTTCAACTCTTTGCATGGTGCATCCCCACCAACTCATTATACTCACATCGAATACTGTAATCTTTTCTTCATCCTTTCTCTGAAAAAACAAATCATGCCAGAAGAAGCTTTTCATCCTTGGAGAATTATATTTATAGAGACTTTTCCTCAAAGTCCTTTTCTGCTTAAAGAAAATAGTCCACCAAGAGATTAATAACAAAATCACAAAGATCTGATTAACAATTTGATCAATAATCAAACAGTAGATACAGACATGCAGACACCATTCTGTATAGTAAGAATTTTATGTGAAATGGCTCCCTAGCCTGACAACCCCAGGTGAGTGTGGATTGCACTTCTCAAGCTCCTTGGACCAAAATTCATCAGTAAATCTGAGTTTCCCAACTTCACATGGCTTAGCTTGGCCACTAAGCTCAGACTTGCCTGAAATCTCTTAGATGTGCCAAGTGTATGTGAGAGAGAAAGAGAAGGAGTCCCTAGATTTAAATTCTGAACTTCTTCTTCCTATCTTTTGGCTGCTCTTTCTCAGTCTTGAAGTTCTCTGCCATGTCATCCGTCCCTTGTTTACCAATGTCTTTCCTTGGCATGAGAATCAGGAGTCCTTGTTTCACCAGCTTCAACCATTTCCGTATTGAACAATTGTTTGCCCTTAGTCAATGTGAAGTTGTAGTTCCCCTCTTATAATCATGGCAATTAAAATCCATTGCTTTTTCTCCATATCTCCCCCACATTTCAGTGGAGACTTTGCCCTATGCTTCTTGGAGCCCAGCAATTGCTGGCTGTTGACATAACTGATATCTCTGTGCAGAGAGCTGCTGGCTCTCAATTTATTTCTCATAATATCTTCCAAATGTCATGATAGGTGCAACTTCCAGGAACTGTAGTCTCAATAAACCCAATAAAAGGTGCCAGGTTTAGACTTCTGTACATTATCATGAATCCATTTATTTGTAGAGTGGGATGCTTTGGCAAAAACCACAAGAGCTATTTATATAGCCTTCATGCAGAACTCATTTAGATATCCACACAAAGTTATTTGTGTAGATATTCTATGGACATAGGTATACATAGCTGGAGGCAAGCAGAAACTCTTCATATACTCAGGTAGCTCATTATTCCTTGCTTCCAAACCACTTTGTTTCCTTGAGGGAAAGCCATTTTCATAAACAAATGACAATCTAAACCTAACCTGTAAAATTGAAATAAGAGGGTATCTGTAAACATAAACCTGCTGAGTTGCAAGGAGTAATTTACATGATTGCGCCCAACCCCCTACTTATTGAAGGAGTCCAAATGAAACCATTTTTATGTATGGTTGTCCAGCCTGTTTGAAAATATCCAGCAAAGGAGAGACCAACCACTTATGTAATTGTTTCCATCGTCAAAATGCTCTTATCTTTAGGACATTCTTCCTAACATTCTGCCAAAAACTGCCAAACTTCCTATAATTGTGCTAGTTCTATCAGAATTGAAAGAATATGCTTCAGAGAAGATGATTCAAATGTGTCCTCTACCCAATAACTGTTTTTGGTGCTATTGATATTTACCCAGCTGGGACATCTACATGATCCTGCTACAAGCATCAGTGTCATCATGTCAGGAATTCACATTACAGTTATTAGCTGCATCCATAGCTATACAGAACAAGCAAAAAATGACGTTTAAATGATAGAGTACTATTTATAGCTATATTAATCATTCTACAAGATATGGATTTTATCAAAAAATCAGGTAAATTGTCTCCAGGTTTCATTTTCATGGAGTTATCATCCAGCCCATTGTATGTGTAAACCAACCCTTGAAAGCATTTTTGGTGATAATGATAAATCAGAGCAAAAACAAGTCTTTTGAATGGTTTTGAATGGAAAGATTTCTGGGAACCGTGCTGATTAAACAAAACAGCATCAATCTGTCCTTTGAGGGGAACACAGAAATTTGGCTTTTGGTTCAAAACTTAGCTCAAGATTTCTTTGTATTTTTGCTTGTCATACTTGGTGCACATTAGGTAAGATCATTTGAACAGCACAATTGTACCTATCTGGTCAGTAAAACCCATTGAATTGGATGAGGTTTACTATGCAGTAAATGCATAATAGTTGCTATCAGGAAGTTCACAAAAGAAACATTTTTCATCCTACCATCTCCCTACGGTCACCTGTACTCCTAAAGAACCTTCTCAGACTCCACTTTAAACCAAGCAGGAGGAACATGGGAGAACTGCTGGAGAGAGGGAGATTTGCTCAATATCAAGCTGGGATGTTGATAAATTCATACATTCACAGAAGGGATTTTCTTGTCCATTTCTTCCCCTGGACCTATGATCCCGTGCTGCTCAGGAGAGTTACTGACTTTTCAGAAAAACTTTTCAGGAGCCACAAGTGACTATAGAAGGAAGGATCTGGAAGTCATAGAGTTGGAAGGAGCCTTTTCAGCCATTCAGTACAACTCCCTGCAGAAATGTTCCTTTTGTGTATTTCCTTAATTTAATTTAGGCTCCAAGCCACTGCGTTCTTGGACCAAGCTGAGATCTTCTAAGTAAATATGGGCATTTTAGATTGTATCTAAAGGAAGGGGAAAAAAACATAAATGTGTTTACTGCATGTGCATGGTTATTTTTCAACCAATTCAGTTTTCATATGAAAAAGAACCATATAAATGGCATTTGAATAGATCAATAGCTGAGCAGATTAAATTGAAAATATGTTGCAATTAAGGAACTAGGGTGTTATTATCACCCCTTTAACCAAATTGTCAAGATAAAAAAAATCTCATTTTCATGGAACTAGTCTTCAGGGGTGAAATGAATGGTAATTACTCTAATAAACATACCTGCCAATTCTGACAAACAATGGCTGAATCTATCATGGTTGAAGTAGTTCTCCTACACCAGATAATATACCAGGCACTAAAGCCACTAACGTAGCTATTATTCTTGATCAGGCTAAACTGATTTTCCCCCATAGTGTCAAAAAGTAAATGTAGAATATTTTGCATAGCATGTATCCATTTAAGTCCAGATTGGTCAAATTTTGAGTGTTTCAATATGTTTTTATTCCTATTACTATAAATGAGCTGGCCGCATGGGTAATAGCCTGTTCTGGAGCAGGCTTAACTAGGAACTCATGTGAGTGAATATATCTTCAAGCATGATAATCTTAACTTATACCAATAGTGCATAAGACATTTTTGAAGGTCTGGATGCAATGTCTGGAATGTGCCATTCAGTTGAATTAGTATTCCAGTTGTCTTTAGGCAATTTTCTTAATTTTAGGTGAAATTAGAGGTAGAAAGTTCATAGGTATTAGAGCTATATAGATGTTAAATGCATGATTGAAGATGCAGGGCAGGGCAGAAATATTATACTTCTTATACCTTTGGGAGTCAATATTATGTATTCCCATTTCTTTCCAGATTGTTGCCCATTCAGTTTTATGAGTACCATACATAAGTAGGGGGGGGGGGAAACACTTTGAATTAAAGTTTGCCCATATTTTCTGTGATGCAATCATGTATCCAAATGGCCTTTAATCAGTGTTTCTTTCAGTTTTCCAAAATTAGTATTTATAGAGACAGCAAAAATCCTAAACTTTAAAAAGAAAAAGAATGAAATTGGATTTGTGGGAACTTGTTTGTTATACTCATTTTGAAAATTGAAGTTGCTGGATAGAATAATAACAAGCTTATGATGACATTCAACTGTGTGTTTTATTGCACTGCATAACTATATGTAATATAGCCATGATTGCCATGGTCAATGGCTTACTTCAGTCTTTTATCTATCATTGTTATATTTGGGATAATGACAATAAATTCATTGAGATCACTTATCCATTTAAAATGAGACATTTAAAAGCATATACATTGTCCAATATAGCCTCCCAGACTATAATCGCATGTGAGAGCATCTGGAGTCTGGATTATAATACAATAAACTTTTTGTTACCACATCATCATTGGGATTAAACCTTAAATATATTCTGTACTTTCTCAGATCACTGATGGCAGCTTTTTGGTTGTTGGTTGTAGAACTAAGACTTTTAAATGTCATTTTATGTTATTTTGCAGGAGCTGTATAGAAAGGATTGCAATTTAGCTGCTCAGCTGCTCCAGTGTAGCAAGAATTATGACAGAGCGCATAAGCTTTCTGAGGTAACATAAATATATCACTGAAATTCATCAATGTGCTTGCTATCGAGGCCTGATTCTTCTTTGCAAGAACCATGAGAGGGAGAGGGCAGGATGGAGGCTCCGATGCTGTGCCTAGGCAAGAAATAGGTAGCAGAGGGAAAAGTAATCAAGGAGCCCAAGGGCAAGACCATGGTCAGTAACTATCATAAGAAGGTCACTAAGATATGAGATAGCATTCACTTATTGGAATGGAGAAAGTCTGGGTGGGATCATAAATGGAGACAACTGGATGACAAAATAATGGGGATGGGGGTGAAGATTAATGAAACCATGTTTGAGCCCAGTAGCTGCAAGGCCAAGCTGGAAAGGTAAAGAAGGTTCAAGAAGCCCAACAAGCCCCATATCTCTTGTACTTGGTGCATTATTTTTGTTTGTTTGTTTGTTTATATTGTCATTGGTAAGACAGCATAAACAAACTTCCATGGATTCTAGGCTGCTTAAAATCATAAAAACAATCCAATCATTCAGCTGACCCCCGTAATAGTGTTATATGGCTAAATGGGGTTTTTCTCACCACAAGCTCTGCAGAAAAGCATATCCTGAGTATTAATGGAGTAGGGACTATTCCAGCCTCAAGTGCCAAGCTGTATCAGTGTAATGGATGGGAAATTCAGTATTTTGTCTGCAGCGACAAAATATTTAAGGACATTCTACCCAGTGTTCTGACATATATTGGCATATCCATCTTGCTATTCTTGTAAGCTTCCCAAAGGTATCTAATTCACAACTTTTGGAGACATGAAGTACTTACCTAAATGAAGCTTTAATCCAGCTTTGCCCAACTGTACCCCTCCAGATGATTATGGCAACTTTGGATTCTGGAAGTTGGAGCCCTACCATATCTGGACGGCATCAGTCCAGTATAGTTAAGCAGTTCCTAGGGATTAGCAATTGTCTTTGAATGAGAGCTATCAAAGTATCTTATGAAATGCCTAGGCATGTGTGTATGTGTGTATCTGCATAGGCATAGGCATAGGCATATGCATATACATATACTTATATATAATTCTGATTTTGGCATTCTTGTGCAAGATCTTGCAACCTCATGAGATTTCAGTGTTTTGTTTTGTTTTCTTTTGTTTTGCTATGGAGCAACCAGGATGCCTTTTGAGGGTCCTGCAGACATCTCATTGCTGTGCTTGCCTAACCCACTTAACCAGGTCAGTTAAAGACCTAGCAATTACATTTGCACAGTGTGCTAACTTTAAATTTAAATCTCAATTTTAAAAATTCTAATTAAAGTTGAAAAGAAAAATAAATAAATAATGAATAAAAACCTCACAATTAAGCTTTCATGGTATGATAAAAACACTATGCATTATTACTATTGGACTCAGTCATGTTTATTTCATGTTTAGTTCCAAAATCATAGAATTTATTTATTTATTTATTTATTTGCATCAATTTAAAGAATGCCCGACTCCAGATTACCCTGGGCATTTTACATAATTAAAAGAGAAATAGAAAGAAAGGAAAGAAAGGAAAGA